TCCCAGTGATTCAGTCATCGCAGCTCTGTGTAATTATTTTGTATTCTAATTTCTTCGTGGAAAAGCAATTTTTATAATTAGAAAAGGCAGTTTTCTTAGTTGCGCACCCGATAAAATACCGCTCACTATTTTACTATGAATTTTCATTATATATTTGATATAACACAAGTCAAATTTTCTCAACAAATGGACCAAAGAATATTCGATATGACGTTGTGCCTAAAATCTCAAAACGTTTTTTAATTCATGGTCTACACGAGTAAATATTTATTAATGAAATTTTACTTATTAACAGATCACATCTATTGATTAGTTATGTTTAGTTTGCTCCGTGTCAATAGTTACATATTTTGCTTATTAATATAAGTTCATTTATATTTTCGCATTTTTAATTAAGTTCGACTCAGGTGTATACAAAGTGATGCAATCTTGTGGGGAATCACTGTCTTTCCATTAATGTTGAGAACATGACTGAATGCGATTGTATAGAGTTGACAATAAGAAAAGCAAATATCGATTTTCGGTTATTTTTGTAATCCCCAGTTCACGTAATAATTAGGTAATTTTATTACAGTACATATCTGTTAGTTGAGGATTAAGATTTAATGTAAAGCATTTTCTCTTTTAAAATAAAAAAATGCATACAAATAAACTCTCACTTTTCCTCAATTCACAGAAACAACTCGAATTCAATATACACTAGAGCAGGTCGATTTGTATGGGTAAAAAAGCCGTCTAGGCACATATAATATTCGGATACTAGAGATCAAAATAAGATACTTTGCTGGAGAAAAAACACCTCTAAAATGAATTCTGATGTCCCGTGCATTAACCCAAAAATAAGGGTTAAAATTTGAAATATTCCATTTTGACCCATTTAGAGTGCCCTAATTGCTTCCAAATATAAGAACGACCCACCACTAACTTTGGTAGGCCTATCCACCCATGCCCCTGGTTCAACCCCTGGCACCCCTACCCTTGAGAGGCATTGACCCTTATTTTTAGGTCAATGCACGGGACATCAGAATTCATTGTAGAGGTATGGTTTCTTCAGCAAAGTATCTTATTTTGACCTTTAAATCGACCCGCCATAATATACAAACTTATTGAATTAAATCATTGACAGCTGATGATGGCTATAATTTTTAACTTTTAAGTAGATTCTAGATTCTAATTAATTCTAACGTGAAACTTACTCAATCCCAACCAGATCCTAACTAGATTCTTTTGAGATTCCGGCACTGTTCTTATAAGATCTGTAGTAGATTTCCATTGGATTCAAACCAGAATCATTTTTAACTTCCCGTAGGTAAGTTATAGTAATCGCAAAAATAATCGAAAATAAAAATTATTATATCTTTACGTTTCAAAGGTTTTTGAACATTTTGGCATACCTTAGAAAAAATGGATGTATGTGTGTGTATGCGGATACAAATATTCGTCTATTATATTCTTACCTGAATCTAATCTAAACAGCACTCTTCTTTACTTAATGTTGTATTAAAAACAGATAGCAGAATAAAGTAAATAAAAAAATCGAGTTTTTGCTTTAGTTGAAACAAAATTCACATGATTATTTTAACTTTTGTTAAACTTCTCGTAGGGCAAGTTATAGTAATCGCAAAAAAATCGAAAATGAAAATTTTTATATATCTTTACGTTTCAAAACCTTCTAAATATTTTGGCATACCTTAGAAAAAATGGATGTATGTGTGTGTGTGCGTGTGTGCGGATACAAATTTTCGTCGACGATTTCGGGAACACGGATGAAGCGATTTGAATAATTCAAAAAACATTCGATTCGTATTTATAAGGAGATGTGCTAATTAGGGGATGTGCTTTTTGGCGAAGGCAGGACTAGCCGTTCCGAAGATATGGGGCAAAAAGTGCCAAAAACGGTAACTCAGTTTTTAAGAGAGCGTCCGATTTGAATAATTCAAAAAACATTTTACTTGTATTAACAAGATCAAAGAACTGATCAAATTATCATGAAGAGGTCTAGCGGTTTCGGAGATTTAGTGAAAAAAAGTAAAAAAAAATGCCATCTGGTCAGAAATGATCATTAGACATATGCACATCAAATTATCAGATATTTTATAGAGATTTTAGCAAAAAGTATAAATCTTGTTCACATTCCTATGGGTTCCGTACCAATGTTTATCCGTTAGACGGCAACGCGGCGCTTACGCGCTTCGATATTTTCTCTTGCAGTTAAAGCAGAACGATTGCTTTGAAAAAAAGATCAGAAATTCCAAATATTTCAAAATAAATTTTTCTTCAAAAAGGTTTTTTTTTTTTAAAAAAAAGTAAATTTTTGTCAAAAATTTATAGTTTCTCAAAAATCTAATTTTTTCAGAGTAATTTTTTTTCAAAAATGTTAATCTTTTTTAAAAAAAATAATTTTCGGTACGGGAAGTTCCAGCAAATTGTCTTAAGGCACGATGCCATGCGCCCCACTAGTTTGTAAATAAAACAAAAAGTGGGAAGTGTTCATCAATTTTTCCTTAAGCACGTTGGAGGAGGAGCCTAGTGCCAGGAATAATTAGAACTATCTAAAATAATATTTTTAAATACTAACGAATTAAAAAAGTTCTGCAAAATTAAATATCTGCAAACCAGCAATAATCAAGAAAATTTTACCATTAACATAATTATCGCTATATTTTATTAAAAAATCTCACTATGATTTTAAGATTTCATTTAGCAATTTCGTTTCGAATTTTATATACCTTTAGTATGGGCAACTCTAGTTTACAAAATGCTGGTGGGAATTGCAACGGGAATAAACCAAGGAAAATGCCCTCAGCTTTCGCGAATAAGTAAGTCGCTTAACTGTCATTATGTGTAAATCCCAAGCAAGAAATAAACAAATAATATTTTAATGATTGCTTTATGACTATCCATGCGATTTAAAAAATAATCATGTGTAATACGATAATAATGTGTGAAACGATGACGAGTACGAGACATGTCTGCAATTAAAGTAATTGCATTCATCCTCCATTTTCTGATTAACATAAAACTATTCTTCAAATATATATATATATATATATATATATATATATATATATATATATATATATATATGATAATTATATATATTCCCAAATTGAAATAACTTTTCCCAGTATTGCTGCAAAAAGTTGAACAGAAGATGAACTTACAATAAAGTGTAAAAAACCATTGTGGTCTTCGAGAAATTTACAAGGAAAATACATAAAAACAACTCACGGAACATTTATCGTTAGTTCCAATTGCCATTCGATTTAAAATAAGATAATTATCAAAAAGTGGTTACAGGAATTATGTTTTTATAGCACGATAATTTAAAATTTTTCGTAAGTTTACGGATTTTAATAGGTTTCTGTGAAATTTAGGATCACCTAAAAACTTAATTGTTTCGGCGATATCTTCATCATAAATGTTTCTCCAAAAGCTTGAAAGCAACTTGCATCAGAAAAAGAATGTAGAATGAACTACATTTTAATATTATAGACTGGGTTGGATTCAATAACAACATAAGTTATATTAAATTATATAGAGGTACAAATATTTGCAACTAATCTTCGTTAAATACTTAATTTCATACAGACTGGGATACTATCATCAAGTAGAAGTGATATGTCCATTTTTACTTGGTAATAAAGATCCAAAACATGTTTTTTGGAGGACATATGCCTTCTAGGGATTGGCTGCAACTAATTAAACTAATTGGTATTGCTATTTTGCCTTGAGACAAGTTACATGAACTTCCCGACATGTGTAAATAATCGACTTAATAAAAAATAAATTAATTTATTAGTGATTAAAAGTATTCCGAGTGGATTTATTACTCATAATTGAAAACGAACGAACACGTTAACTCGAAGTTTTTTCTAAAAGCAAATTTTCAAAAATGAATACTTTTTATAATAGAACCAGTTTCCGTAGGACTTTAATGGTTTAGTATGTTCATTAGAAGTACTCTATCGTTATACCAAGTAAATTGCCTAATTTTAATTTTAACAAACGTCAAAAAAATCTACTCATTTTCTCAAACTTTGATGAATTTTCAAAATTAAACTACTTGTCGCAAGGCCGTAATATTTCAGTAAGTTCTATAAGACCATGATATATATCGCCAAAACAAGTTCCAAAAAAATCGGCTTAAATTTTTTTTTAACAGTTGATGACAAGAAAACGGCTAGGCAGATTTTCACCTAAAACTAATCAGTATCATTCCCAAGTAGTATCTTCTCGATCAGTTTTGGATTTTAAAGCCGAGCTTAAATGTAAACGAAAAGTTTAACACTTTTTTTCAAAATACAAAGAAACGGCTCGGCAGATCCTCGCACAAAACTGACAAACGAAGTGTTCATTGATATACATCAAATGGCTTTTAAATTTCTGAAATCGGTTCAGGCGCTTTTGAGAAAACGTTGATCAAAGGTCTAATTTTGTCACAATATAATTACTCAAAGTCAAATTGAACTTTTGTGCCCCGCCCTACCCTATCGGGAAGTTTTTGTATTAAGCCATAAAGCAAAAAAGCTTAGTTTAACATTTTATTTCCAACATAGTAAAGTTGTCAAGTGTGATAACTCACAAAATGAATATTAGATTTGAAGACTGAAAAAAATAGATTTATAGAGAAATATTTTTTACATAAAATTTTCCAAAACCACCATGGCGATTATATACGACACAGCAAAAATACCCCCACAATTAAAATATTTGCTCAACAAATCAATTTCATTACAAATATTATTACTTGTGCACAAATTATCATAAAGACGAATCCAGTAGAACAAGTATTTGCGTTCATATAAAGATTATATCGCGTGGAATTCGTCTTCAGTTATTCAACACTCGCAGTGCGGGTCGCATTGCTAAATAATATTCATTTAAAAAAAGTGACTGCGAATATTATAAATTATTATGACGGATAATAATACATAGTTCCACAGATCATTCAAAGAAACTGTTTAAATATAGTAAAAATTAACAAAATATATAAAAAAATTATTAATAATAATATTAGTGTTGATAATTTTCGTACGCGCCGAAGGTCACCTACGATTCATCTTAAATCATAGATTTTTTGTGTGTTGAATTTTGTGTAGTTTAATTGAGTGATATTATTTTTATAGTAAAAATGTGCAGATCTCTTAGTTTTTTTGTATTGGTGGCTGCCAGTTTTGCAAGTTCAATTCTAGCCCGTAAGTAGAATTATTTTGAATATTTAGTAAAAACCTAATCGGAGAATATAAGTTAAATTACGCGTATGTTTAGGATAAAAATTATTTTACACATTTTTATTTAAGGAAATGGAATATGCAGATTTGATCGTATAAATATTTCATAAAAATTTGCATGCAAATTTTTGCTCATCATTAGAATCAGGTAAACATTTTGTTAATATAACATATATTTATTGTTTTGTTCATGTTACAAAATAGCTTTTAAATTTAGTTTCTAAACCGTTTTATAAACAAGTGGTAAACCAAAATTTATTGAACATGATTTCAATAATTGATTTCCAAAGAACCATCAAAATAATAGCACCAATATAATAGTATCAATACAAAAATATTTTAAATAACGGTTTTCTTGAAGGTATGATTATTGTTACCTTAAGTTACCCAATTGCTGATTACCTTCTGATTGCAATCAGAAAATATATTACTTAAACTTTTAGCATATAATATATAAAATAAATGTTTATATATAATATATAAAATAAATGTTTATATATAATATATAAAAAAATAATAAAAGGAAGTAGTATTTTTATTTATAGAGTAGAGATTTGCGTCACTAACTTGTTAAACATGTTACTTATCGTACAAAGAAACAAAGACTGCGGTCAACTGCCGTATATGTCAATGAAATCATTAAAAATAATAATATTTACTTTTTAATAGTTCTTCATAATAATTTTTAATGTAGGATAGGGCGGGGTACGAAGGCCCAATTTGACTTTGAGCAATATATTGTAACAACCAAGCAAATTAACTCACAACAAATAACGCATATTAAACGAACAACCATCTGATTATATTCAGTATAACTTCCAGCTAATTCATCATTGTAGAAATGTGTTTTCTGCTGTTTTTCAAGAATTTTTCACCTGCGGGATAAATTTCAAATAGATTAATTAGAAAATCATTGTTTTTCACATGTTTAACATCAGACCAAAAAACAAAAAATGTGGTTTACCAAAGAGCACTTCAATGAAACGGATAATTTGCGGATTCACTTTCATTTACTTAGAGAACTTCAACTAAAAAACACTTCATTATTGTTGTGTAATAAAATCAAGTTTTTCCTTTTCAAATATAAAACAAACAAAAAATTTCTTCATCTTTCTCACGAAACCATCTGGTGGCGAAACGGAGTTCGTAGGGTTTGCTAGTATATATAATGTGTTTTTTTCAGTATTTTGAGTATATATATGTATGTTCGTGTGTGTGTGTGACAATTTTTTGTATCTGGATCGATGCCTGTTATATATATACAAGGTATCCCAGAACTCAACGTCAAACCGAAACGGAGTAATAGTATTGAACGTAACTATCACGAAAATTTTTTTTAAAAAAAATTTTATGTAGTTCGAAAATTATGAGTTTTTAAGTGCAACCTAGAGCTTTGGTGAAACTGTGTCCATTTTGCTGCTATTGTAGTTAATTTTCATCAAATTTGTTCATTTAAACATTGGATCTATATTCTAGAACCGCAGTCAAATATAATAAAATAATTGTTCCAAGTTTTCAGAAATTTAGACTTTGTTAAACTATGAATCTAAAATTCTCCAAACACAAAATAGTACTTTTTACTTTTTCTACATCACAATTTTGTAGGAAACAATAATTTCAGTATAAATACGCCACGTGCTTGATGCGTATTTTTGTTATTGAGTTTAATAACATTATAGTAATGATATACAATTAGCCTTAATAACACATCGGTTATAAAAATATAATCGAAACATGGTTGGCTTCATTTCAAATAAATTTTAAACGCATTAGTTAAATGAAGAATATTCATATTTATTTAACTCGTTGAATATGTGAATATTAGGGCGCTCCTTAACATGGATGTTTTAGAATTTCCTTGTTCCCAGGGGCTCAAATGCTTCTAAATTGATAAAAAACAATTCTCTGAAAGTTTTAGCTCTTAATATTATCTCTAAAATAGTCCCCACTTTAAACAAAGTTTCTATGAAAAAATTCATTTGTTTTTTAACTTAGCGACAAGTGAATCAAAATTCTGAAAATAACATTGTATTTGCTCATTTAGATTATAAATAAAAAATTTACAACAAAAAATGTGATATATATTACAAAATAAGTATATACTTAGAAAGAAGAACCAAGAAACTTTGGTTGGAGTGCGGACTTTCTTAGAGTTAATATTAAGAGCTAAAATTTCTAGATAATTTTTTTGTATCAATTTTGTATCATATTAAAGACCACCCTAATATATTATCTTTCTATTTTCAGAAGATTGGGTAAATCCTACAGCTTCTACAAGTTGTACGACGCCCGATAGTAAAAGAGGGACATGTATAAATATAGCAAGTTGTGCAGTCCTGGTGCAAATGCTGCAGAATGCGCCAAAACCAATACCACCAGAAATATCGTCGTTTTTGAGACGATCTCAATGTGGATTCGAAGGATCAAGGGTAAAAAATTAAAAATAATATAAAATTTACAGAACATTTATACTAACTCAGCCGGACACCCTATATAAAATACCAGACTACACAAAACAAAGCACTGCGACTAGTACTGTGCAAATCAAGAAACTTTACTACACGGCATTTACATAACATTTATAAAAACTTTAGATTGATATATAAAATAGGTTTAAATCGAAAAAAAAATTTCGTAGCTTATGGAAAGAAGTCGATACATATAATTTTAATAATAAATACATATAATTTTTTTAATAAATTATAATTTTATTACTAATAGCCAAAAGTATGCTGCCCTTCGCAAACACAGACTTCATCAGAACTTAATACTGATAGTGAAATTCCTGATGTATCATCACATCCTAATTTGAGGTTGTTACCTCATAGGATATGTGGAGCATCTTTGGAGGACAGAATCGTCCGAGGAAATAAAACGGGATTGTTTGAATTCCCTTGGATGGCCTTATTGGCATATCGATCAAGTAAGTATATAAAAGAAACTTGTAACTTATAACAAATTTATTTGTCTAAATATACAAATAAAAACTGGATTATTAAAAATATATAGAGGGTCATTTAAAGTGGAAGCGCCATTTAACTTGTATTTACACCTAAAATTCATGCTAATATTCAGTAATTGTAAAATTGAAAAAATTGTAGTTGATATTAATGATTGGTGTTCTGTTTGTTATAGTTCATTTCAAGATTAAGATCACTTTTACTATGCTTGAAAACGTATTTTCTAATGACGAGTATGTGAAAACCCAATAACATTTGCAATTAATTCTAAGCGTTAAAATACAAAATATTGATACATAATGTTAGATCAATTTGTTCTTGGAATTTCTATGGTTTTTCAAAGTATAAACGATTCATTATCTGATACAAATATTGTCATCGTTTATAATTAGCTGTAGTAAAGCTAGAAGTCGAAGAATGGAGAATACCCATTTTAATAAACAGAATTTAGAAACGCAGTTGTTAATAAGCAATTCATTACTAAAACCTAATTTTATTTAAAAACTTATACATAGAAGTATTTAATAAAATAATTTAATTAATTTGTAATTAGTTATTGTAAATTTTTACTATAGAAGTGTATTGCCACAAATAGGAAATTGATTTTCTACTACCTCTATCATTTCGACTATCTGAAACTAGTATTTTGTAATAAGTACGCACTTTTAAGAAATGAAATGTTTAAAAAATATTTTTGTCTTAGTATTTATTTTAATAACATTCAAATTATATCACTAGCAGTCGCGCCCTTGAACCGAGTCGTAATTTGTGTAGATAATATGGGAAATTGACCCTGACTTATTTTTCTGCAGATTCTAATGAACAAATATTGTGGTTTTTTATATTTAATGGAAATATTATCAAAAATAATTTACTAAATGTCATTTACTTGTAAAGTAATATTATACATAGAAAAATTTATTGCGTTTACTATGCAAAATAGTTATAATTAGAAGTTGATGTCGTGGCCTATCACAATTTGTTTTGAGATGAATTTAATGAGTTTTTATGAGCTTATTGATGATATCTATTAAATTGATATTTTAGTGTTCTGTTTATAATTGGTACAAGTATTATTGTAAATATTTCCATTTTTGAATATAGTAACTACTTAATAGAATCGACTAACATGGAGATTATCCGCTCTATATTTTTTTAAATTTTCACAGTCCTAAATCTTTATCCTCCTACCATAAACCTCAATTTTGTAATAGTAATTTTAGCGATCAAATGATTTTTGTCTTTGATAGCAAAGTTATAATCTTTTTTGTGGCGTTTCCCACTTCGACTTTTTCTCACTGAATAAAACATACAAATTATTTGAATTAATACAAAAACTATACATAATGAAGAAAAGACTTGATTAACAGTCATATTTGTAAAAAGAAGAAAAAAATTTTATTTACTTAAATAATGAATTATGACCAACAAGCAATATGTTGGGTAGAGTTAAGTTACTTTAAATTTGAGTATTATTCACTTTTGGTTTCCTTCAACAAAATTTTTTAAACACAACTTCGTTTGTATAGTTAATAATTATATGGATCCTTATTGAAAAAAAACTTGTTTATTCATAACAAAAATCTGTAGTTCTCTAAAATATTATTATTATATTTAATATTTTTTGCATTTATTTTTTCAGGAAGTGGAGATGTAAGTTTCCGTTGCGGTGGCTCTCTGATAACAGATAAATATGTTTTAACGGCTGCGCATTGCCTGTTAGTTGAAGCCCAAGGATTTAAATTGTAAGAAATTATTATAATATCGAATCATTTTTATATTGTAATCCAAAAGTATTATAAATCTTTTGTTGAAAAGGTTTTGCTGCCAAAAATAATCGAAATATATATGGTTTTTTATTGAAACTTATGCAAAAATCTGTATAAGAATTGAAGTAGTAAAATATTTATAGAACGTTTACCAAAAATTGCAGAAAAAAATTTATTTCACCAACATCTTTATTCTCTGATAAAATTATTTTACAAAATTTACTTTTACAAAATAGAAGTGAAAATTTAGGGATATATATTTTTTTATTTCGCGTTATAAAAAAAATAAAGTAAATTGAATAATAATAAAGATTTCGAAACGTATTAGGTTAATCAAAGTTCTACTTAATGTGATAACTAAAGCTTTATAAAAATCGGCCAATCTGTTTCAGACCGTGCCTACTAAATTAAACCTACAAAATCCAAGTTTTAACAATTATATGTGTTAAAATTTATTATATATTCATATCTTTCTATTTCAAAAATCATTTTATGAGAAAATCAATCAATATTGATCAAAATGCAAAACCAAATAAAAACAAGCATCCTAACAAAATAAAGGTTTTCTTTACCTTGCACTAAATGCTAAAATATTTACCGCTTCATATGGCATATGCAAATATTACCTCGACAAAATAAATATTTATTCATCAAAATCTGCACAACGTCCGTTAAATAAACCATAAATTTGCATTGGTTTTTAACGGCCAAAACGACAATATAAATATTGCGTATAAAAATAACTTATATATAGTATACATTATTATTGACATTTATAAAAATAATGAAAAAAGCAGGAAGTGATTTTAAAATATACAGATATAAATAAAAATCCAATTTGGCAGAAATAAGATTTCATCAAATACGAATTCACGAATTAAATTTCTTTAATCTCTCTAATTTTAGTATAATTGTATATTATAAATCACACGATTTATCTATTATCTATTTTATAGAGAAGGTGTCCGTCTTGGAGAACACAATATAAATACAGCAGAAGATTGTGAAATTCAAGAAGATGGTTCACGACTTTGCGCTGATCCTGTCCAGGACAGAACTGTTGAGCAAGTTATAATCCATCCTGGTTATTCGAAATCCAGGAATTATAATGATATTGCGCTGATACGACTATCAAGCCCTGCTGATATCAGTTCCGGTAAAATAAAAATAATAATAAACCCAAATAGATAATTTCCAAATTGCAATAAAAGAAATGAAACGGTATATGTATATGATTAGTTGAAATTCTTGCAAATTAATAAAATTATACATACTTTAGAGGCTTATAAATTATATGTGTTTTAGGCATATAATTTTTATTAATTTGCATAAAATTAACTAAACATTCATTGCGGTAAAACTTTTATTGTGGTTTCATATGCCACCTATATTAACTTCCCGCAGATATATTTTAATTTAAATTTTCGGTACGAAAAGTTCCTGTAATTTGGCTTAAGGCACGATTCCATTAAATTTTTTATTTTCACTTACGTTTTTTGTCTAAAATTGCTCATTATTTATAAGCATCTAAACATAGTTCAATTTTTTTTTTTTTGAATCTTACCTCAACCTGTTCCTTTCCTTTCAGAATCAGTCCGTCCAGTGTGTTTGCCCATATCGAACGCCCTGCAAACGATGAACCTCACCGGGCGCTCCGCCGTCGTCACCGGCTGGGGCTACACAGAATGGGGCACCAGGTCACCAGATCTGCTCAAAGTTGGACTCCCAGTCGTAGATAACGAGCAGTGTAATTCTGTTTATAGAAGGTGAGGAAATCAATTATTAAAAGTATTTATAGTGAAAGTTAATATATGTAGATAGAAAGAGTTCTGATCCTGACACAAAGTATTCTAGTGGTGTATGGCATCGTGCATTAACACAAATTGCTGCAACTACCCATACCAGAATTAAATATTTGAGGGAAAAAAATCAGTAATCAATGAAAATGATTAATGATTAATGATTAATAACAATTGTTTTAAACATTTTCAAATAGATAATTATAATGACTATATATTTTATTGTTCATAAAATATACAGTGACGATCTTATCGCTCAAAACACTTTTGAATCATTCAAATCGGTTGATTCGTGCGACCGAAATCGCGGACGAAAAATTGTATTCAAACATACACATACACAAACACACTCACAACACATACACAAACATACATCCAGAACCAAAATGTTCAGAAACCTCCAAAACGTGAAAAAATGCATAAATTTTCATTTTCGATTTTTTTGAGATTACTACTTCTCCTATTACTATTTACATTTTCTTTACCCCAGGGAAAGTTAATAATATCAAATAAAACTCTTGGATCGATTCTGAAGTTTTTCTAAAAAATCAATTAGCACTTATATATTTTTACCTTCGCTATGATGTGCCAATATTCCAAGAAATACTACAAGACTAATGTGAAAAAATATAATATTTTTTGAGTAATTCAAAACAAATTATATATTATAAAATGCTATGATCAAATTAAGTATAATTTTGACAAAATATAAATCTAGTTAAAAAGTTATAGATATCACCGTGCATAATCCAGTTTTTAGATAGATATATGTATATATTATATATATATATATATATATATATATATATATATATATAATTACCTTGAATCTTTGAATGATATGCAACATTTCATCATTTTTCAGCAATAAAAATCGTTTATAAATATGTTCAGAAGGAAGCACGAATATCATCACAATGTGCGTCACGTTTTAAATTACAACATATAATTAGTTTTTAGGAACACATTATATCAAATTGAATAATTTTGAATAATTCTTATTTAAATTTAATATAATTAAAAATTGATCTGCGTCGTTATAGACAGACACTAATTTATATTTTACATAATAATCTCAAGGTTAACGCTTTTTTGAAATTTTGTAGTGTCTGAAATCAAATTCTGTTTTGATTAAAATCAGCAACATGAATAATAATTTATTTGATTAAAATGATAGCATATTTGCAGGGATAAAGTGAAAACATATAGAATTTTTTTTATATAGACTTACAGGAAATAATTTAGGAGAATTATGAAAAATTCTAAGCAAATGACCATTGACTAACTGAATTTCGTTTTTCATTTTAGAAGAGCTACCATAATATCAAAACAGCTATGCGCTGGTGGTACTGGTGGTAGAGACAGTTGTGGTGGTGATTCAGGTGGCCCATTAAAAATACCAGGAAATTATAGAGGTCAAACTAGAGTAATCCAGCACGGAGTAGTATCATTTGGACCAGTCAAGTAAGTGATAATAAAAATATTATTGGCAAAAAAATATTTCTAAAAACATAATATTTTATCTTTACAGTTGTGGGCTGACAATGTTCCAGGAGTTTACACAAGAGTTGGACATTACATGGACTGGATATTAGATAATATAAGTTCATAAATGTTGAAAACCAATCAAGATGCTTATATACTCAGAATCGCTGATATTATGGGAATTACTTTAAATATGGGTCGAACTGACTTTGAAAAACAATAATTTTGGACAACAATTTGACTCGTCGATATGGTTCGATATGTTTGATAAATTTATATTACTTTGGCTGATTTATACAATGATGTCCTATTGGTATAAATAAATCAATAATTGTAAAAATTTGATAAACAAATGTTATACCTCAAATATTCAGATTAACGATTTGTTGAACGTTGCAAATGATATTATTGTAAATATTTATCAAAATTCAACAATGAAAAATCGACCTCTTTCAATTTTTTTATAATTTTTATGGATCACTTTTGTACCACTTAGATATATTGTAAATTGAATAAGTTGGATTAAAAAAAAAAAATTCCTCTATCCTCTATCAAATTTAAGTGATTCTCATAATGATTTGTTTTTTCTACGTAGTTTAAGTTTATTTATTATATGACTTGTAAAATAAGTTCTCGTTTTGTACCGATTAATAATAAATAATTAAAAAATGATTTTAATTACTTTCCATTACCTTACTGTGTAACTAATTATTGATATGTTAATTAGCTAAGGCCCGGATAGCTCAGTCGGTAGAGCATTGGACTTTTAATCCAAGGGTCCAGGGTTCAAGTCCCTGTTCGGGCGTTAGATTTTTTTTTATAAAAGCTACTCAACTTAAATTGAAAAGTGAAAACGCTTATTTTCTTTTCCCAAAAACATACAGTTAAATTTTATTGCATCAGGATTTCATAGCATGAACATGAGCAGTGTAACTTCAAAACAGTAAAAATTATATATACTAATACATTATTTAATATTTTATATATTTAATTTTTTAAAAACAAAAAACACAATGCTTGACACGGTACTAAACATGTCCTCGGACTCCCTTTGTTTACATTATTATAATATCCATCCTTGTCCCTTCATCTTCGACACTTAAGATTTGTTTTCAAATATTTCTGTATATTTCACATGTTTAGTACCATGTCAAGCATTGTAAAAGAGAGATGGTGTTTTTTGTGTTTCAGAAATTAAATATAATTTAAATAAAATATTAAATAATGCATTAGTATATAATTTTTACTGTTTTGAAATTACACTGAAGATGAGGCATATCATAGTCTCGAAACGTTTGTAATTATTAAATCTGAGTGTTGTATTGTTCATATTTAACATTTAATATATATATATATATATATATATATATGTATATAATGAGGAGTTGATAGCAAGAGTGGACCACCAAAATCGGTAAAGGATAAGGACAATCTGAGATACGATGATGATATGATGAGGATGAGTTTCCAACTAAATAATGTTGCCATACTATAATAAACTTAATATTTATATCTGTCATTTAAAGGCAGCAAAAAATCTACTCTGGCTGGCTCTAAAATTGTTTCACATTTTACGAAAACCAGAGTAGAATACGAGGCTTCTATATCAATAATATAATAACAAGATCGAGTGAATAATGCAAAGGTAAATAGTAAGTAGTATGTCATAAATAATTGGCAATAAATAAAGACATTTGAGAAAATACCAAACTTTCGACTCGATTCAATATTTGGGATGGCCCATTCTGATTATCCACTCGAGATTCCCATATGTAAATAAGATTTTCTAAGACAATACATAAAGATAAAAGCAAAGATTTATATATTAATCTTGAACGTTTCACATAAAATTTTATATCATCATTAGTGAATAGTAGACTTTGGTGTCTTACATTAATGTATGTGCACAAAGTACGTTAGGTTAGTACTAAAATTTATTCACTAACTTGTCATTAACAAAGCACAATTGCAAACAAGTTTTGATGCAAATTAATAAAACACTACAGAGACGTGCAACAAAATATTCATACATTACAAAATATTTTTGCAATATAATTTGTGTCAACAAGCAAAACCGCAGAGGCTTGAATCGCATTAAAGAGCTTTGTACACATACTTATATAAACCAAATATTTTCCAGTCCTTACCTTACAATCCCAACTTATTCTATGATTGACGAATAAACACGTCATGACTCGATTCTGGCTACTAAAAACACTATTCACTTTTAAATGAAGGTGCACAGTTAACTGAATAATCAAACACTATTTATGTTTATTTATCTGTCAAATAATTAATTACAGTATTTGGAGCTAACTTCAGGTTTTTAAGCCCTTTGCGCTAACTTCACGTGTATTTAGATTTTGACGTTTGCAAATGTCAAAAATTCTAACGACTTACAATATGGTCAATAAAATATTATAAACTGATTTATTTATGTTTAATGAAAACATAAATTACTATAATACATCACAAATTATTATTGTATTTCCCAATATTTTAATATAAGTTGTAAATAGGACAATATAAATTAGTAAAGTACAAGTGAAAATATATAAATTAATTTAACATTCAAAGATGTCTAGAATATTCATGACTGTTGGAACTACCAGTTTTGATGAAGCAATATCAACTGTTCTTACACAAGATATCATTAATATTTTCAAAAAACTCGGATACAAATATCTGACCATCCAAACTGGGAACACTAAATTAAACCTAGCTCCATCAATAACTTACGATGATTTCTTTGTTTTTTGCTACAAATTTAAAAGTTCTATACAAGAAGATATTAGAGAAGCAGACTTTGTCATCAGTCATGCTGGTGCCGGAAGTTGTATTGAAGTTCTAAATGCAAAAAAACCTCTTTTAGTCATAGTGAATGAAAAATTAATGGGTAATCATCAATTGGAATTAGCTAACGCTTTAGAAAGCAGAGGTTGTTTGCATTATTGTACTTGCAGTAATATTAAAGAAATATTGGGAAAAGATTTTAGATCATTGAATGATGCTCCTGAAATAAATACCAAAGAATTTGTGAAATATTTAGACGGGTTAATGGGTTTTTGAGAAAGGACCGGAAAGGATTTATAACCGAATGCACAAAGAATCACATTCTTGCATTAAATATAAAAAGGTAACAGACTTTTGGGCATTAACATTTTTCTAAATACGTTCTCATATACTAGTTGTTAATTAAAACCTGTTATCTGTTAAAATTCATACATATAATTATAAACTCTCATACGCTCAGATTTTATTCGAGTGATGTATATATATTTTTGTACAAAAATATAATGCTAAGTCACTGAAATAAGTTTTTAAATAAATTATGTAAAATATATTGAAAAAAAAGATATTATAATAAAGCACACTTTATATTACTTATGTGTTATCAATTAATACATTGAATAAGTTGATTTAAAACTCATTATAAACGAGCACTTTATATTTCCTAATAATTTACTTAAAGAAACAAGAATTTGTACTTGCATAAAATTTTTACAATTCTTTTTAATTTTTGTTGAAAACTGTTCGCAATAAAGTGAAGTAGGAAAAGGAAGCTTTGAGTATCTAAAAATATTTATTTAAATTATTAAAAGTTTTAGCTATTGCATATATTGAACTCACCGATCCAAAACTTTCCATCGAAACTTGAGAAAATTTCAAGGCTGTATATGTTTGTGGTCGCTGTGCTCTTTGTATTATAAGTTGTAAGCATTTTTTGTATGAAGCATCAGCATCAGGCCATGGTGAGTCATATGCCGCCCATGTAATAGCACTGCTCTGTAAATAAAAAAATCATAATATTCAATATATAAAATTCACAATCTTTTCTTCCCAAAGAAACTCATTAATATTTGTAAAATAAAATATTTTTTATTATATATAATTATTTATGTGTATATATTAATTAAAAAACTGTGATTCAAGTCACTAAAACTGAATTACAAAGTATAATTACGGTTATATATCATACTCACAGTATCAATCAATTGTTCTCCATATGAGCAAAGAGTATTAATCTGCAATAGTGCTGATGTTAAGAACAGAATATATGTTATTAGCTCTTCGGGATCAACTCCAGCCTAAAATGTATTTTAAATCTATTAATTTTTGTTCTAATAGTGTTGATAATTTATTTGTGTAATATAAATTAACTCACTGTTATTTGAAATCCTGAGAGGCAAATCATGAAAGAACTATCTAAAAAATTTATTAGAAAGGATGGGCTGAAAATGCTTTCTATTTCTTCTGAAAATCTGATACAATATATTTTAATTAGATATTAATTTAATATCATTAGAATATAAATTACAAAGTCAAATAAATCTTTTTACCTGATTAATTTTTTGTGCTCTTCAATACATGGACGAAGTTCCTGTAAATCCAGCAATCCAGATTTAGTTCGGGCTTTCAGAGTCTGCATTTTTTGTGCAAGTAAACGAAAATGCATGCATAAATGAGCAGTATACAGGCAGAAAGGGCAATCCCAGCTAAAACACCTAAAAACATTTAAAACTTAAAATTTTCATTAAACAAAAGTTTTATGTTTTCCTAATTATAATTTATTTGAACTCACCAAAAACAGCAATAAAACCGCCCCAAAATTGTAATGCATATGCGATGGCGTACCAAGGCATTACATAAACATTTATAGGATACCAAATTAAATATGGTAAAGAAAATGTTAATTCTTGACCTCTGAAATATTGAATGCACATAACTACTGTAGGAATTGAGTTGAAACACATAATCAGCCCAATGTTTGGTATTACAAATTGTAGCATATTTTTGCGAGACTTCTTCATACCTGGAAAATTATAGTTTCAATAACTTCTAGTAAAGCAACTACTACTACTGATATTCCTATAAATTTAATTTGAAATTAAAAATGATTTGGTCCTTATCAATCGAATTGGCAGGGCTACTATGCTTTTTGCCAAAGCCCATGGGGAAATTTTAACTAATTTAAATCTTCATCAATAACTGTTTTAATATCTTTCATAATTTACTTTCTATAACAATCATATTTTCAGCATCTTTTGGAAACATTTCTCTTAGTTCTATGTACATTTCAGATATTTTCTTTGAATTAAGAGAAACCGTTAACATTTTTGTTAAACTCAGTAAGCAATATCCAATGCAAGGTGCAACTGCAGTTATTTTCCGAAATCCTGTATAATTGATGACAGCTTGCTGAAAGTATATCATTTCACCTGAAAAATATATAAGTTAGAGATCGCTAATTTTTACAAACAAACTATCAACTTACCAATAACTGATAAAAACAAACACGTATAAGAGAAAAAGAATAAAATCCCTTGGGACACTTTCCAGTATTTGTTTTTTTCCAATTCAGATGCTGCAAAGGCATCCAAAGAAAGACCAACGCTTTTCAACATGAATTTTGTTAGTTTTGCACTTGCGTCAAAACTAAATTCAGATTCTGGTTTATTATCCATTTGTAAAAATCTAAAATTTGCTAATTCAATTTCAATATCTTAAGATCTACTGCATGCTGTAACTTTACTACAGTGTTTTATATAACAAAAAACGCATAGAATTAAAAATTAATCGCTGTTACGAATTCCAAAACAACTGCGATACTCTAATTACAAGAAGAGCAATTAAGTTTTCATAAAGTTTTCTAGATTGGACGTCGTCTTACAAAATACATATTAAATTTTCATAATACTGGTAGTAAGTTAAAAAGTTTTTAATTTGCGTTAGAAATTATTCATTGGATTTAGTTTTCAACAAGAACAGAAAATATTTTTTGTATCAATACAAAACAATGACTAAAATCTAATGCGGATCTTATCAGATTCTTATATAAAATAGTATGGTTATTATCTGATTTTCACATAAATGATTCAAATTACAACAAACTAAAGAACAGATACAAAAACTTAATGATAATGCTTAATAGAATACTACATTTATTTTCCAAAGTATAAGTACTCCAATTAGATCATTCAATCTTTACTTAAAACAGTTCGAAGTAATGTGAAATATGAAAAAGACGCTTTGAGTACCTGGAATTAATTTATATTTTTAATAATATTTTTCTAAGGTTGATTAAATAAAAATAATTTAATTTGTAGCTCACTGATCCAAAACTTTCCAATGAAACCGTGGAAAATTTCATGGCGGTATAAATTTGCGGTCGTTGTGTCCTTAACATCATGAACTGCAAGGATTTTTTGAAGGATTCTTTAGCGTCAATCCAACCAGAATCGTATGCAGCAAACCGAATTGCACCACTCTAAAAAAAATTAAGAGATAGAAAAAAAATCTTACAAAAACACAGAGAAACACTAAGAATTAGCTAGAAATAAAAAGCATTTTAATCAATCATTTAAAGCACTTACTGTATCAATCAACTGATTTCCATATGAGCAAAGTGTGTGAATTTGTAAAAGCGCAGATGTTAGAAACAATATATATGTGATTAAATCATCAGGATCCACACCAGCCTGCAAAGTGAAAATAATCAGAATTTTTAATAATAATTTTTATTTTCAAATAAGTGCACTCACAGTGATTTGAAATCCCGAAAGACAAATCATGATGGAGCTGCCGATGAAGTTCACTAATATGGACGGGCTAAATATTTCTTCAATTTGCTCAAATTCAAATTTGAATTTTTAAAATTGATTTATTTTCATTTATTGAATGGACCTATAATAATTAGGAACGTTCGTTAAGATAGTGAACTCTGTCAAAGTTTCATCAATGTCCAAGTAAACAAAATTTTAACAATTAATGAGAAAACTGGTGGCCCGCATGGCATCGTGCCTTGAGGCAAATTGCTGGAACTTTCCGTACCAAAAATTATTTTTTTATTAAAAGATTAACATGTTTGAATAAAATTTACTTTGAAAAAATTAGATTTTAGAGAAACTATACATTTTTGACAAAAATTTCCTTTTTTTTGAAAAAAAAAGTCTTTTTGAAAAAAAGTGTTTTCTTTTTTTTTGAAATATCTTGGAAATTCTGAACTTTTATTTCGAAGCAATAAAAGTACTGCTTCAACTGCATAGAGACGAAATATCGAAGCGTGTAAGCGCCGCTTCGCCGTCTAACGGATAAACATTGTTACGAAACCCATATGTCTAATGATCATTTTTGACCGCCAAATAGATTTTACTTTATTTCTCATTTTATTAAGGTTTTACTCAATTCTCAAACCTTGTAATAGCGAACCCGTGCTTTAAAACTACCGTGTTATGAGAGGGATGGTCTCAATTCTTAAACCGTGTAAGAACAAGCCGTGTTATAGAAGTAGCGTGTTATGCGGGGGCTGCCTGTATTTAGATTTCGACGAAAAATCTTAATTACATTAGAAATCCAATAAGAATCTGATCGGAATTTGAAATGATCTTGATAAAAATCTAGTCAGGATTTAGTTGGGATGTAATCAGTTTGTATGTGTTTTTGTGTATGAGTGCCTGTGTAAATTATTTATAAAATTACTCAATCAATTTCTTATGCTCCTCTATACAAGGCCGAAGATCCTGTATATCCAGCATTTGTCCCTTCTGTTGAGGAGATAACGTTCGTAATTTTTCTGCAAGCAATCGAAAATGCATACACAGATGTGCAGTAAGTAGACAAAATGGGCAATCTCCTGCCAAAATACCTGAAATCAGACGATAGATTATCATCATTCAGAAAATCGATGAAGATTGTGTCCACAAATTGGGGTATAATATTATTTCGAAGCATTAGGAACCTTACCAAAAACTGCAACAAATCCTGCCCACATTTGGAAAGCATAAATAAAAGCGTACAATGGCTTGATGTAGACATCCATGGGATACCAAATTAAGTAAGGCAAAGAAAATGTTATTTCTTTGCCCTTAAAATATTGCATGCACATAACAACTGTCGGAATGGAATTGAAGCACAGAATCAATCCGACATTTGGTATTACAAATTGAAGCATATTCCTTCCAGATTTTTTCATACCTGCAAAATAAAAGTACTATATAACATATGTGCCAACAAAATGGATGGTATACACATAGACTTTGGAGCACTGAATTATTTATTACCTTGTAAATCCATACTGAATACCTCACTTCATATGCAAATTTATGCCTTCACTAAATAAGCCAAAATATTTATATATTCATATAATTCAAACACAATTCGTGTTGTCAGAAAATAAAAGGATCAATTAAATTAAGGGGTGCCTTATTGGATTTTCACCAGAATCTGGTTTGAATATTAAAATTTTATTCGATTCTTACCATCAGATCCTAACTAAATTCTTTTTAAATTCACAATAAAATTCTTAATGGCATATTTTCAGAAATCTATTCGATTCAATCGTGATATTTATTGAATACGCACAATGAGATTCTTACCAGATTCTCACAAGATCCTTATAACATAGAACATTAAATTAGATAGTTTAACTTACTCTCAATAATAATTTTGTTTTCAGTATCCTTTGGAAACATATCTCGCAATTCCATATAAATTTTGTTCAATTTTTTGGAATTCAACGAGACAGTTAACATTTTAGTCAAACTGAGGATACAGAATCCAATACAAGGAGCAACTGCAGTCATATCAAGAGATCCAGTATAGTTGACGAGAGATCTTTGAAAAAATATCATTTCACCTGAAAAATAATTAATTTGTCAGTTTTTATAACTGGTAGAAGTAAATTACAAAATAATGTGTTACATTTGTACCTAATTATACTTACAACTTATTTTTCTTACATGATCCAAATCTTTTATAATGATCCAAATAATAATAAGTGAAAAAGAAGATTCTCATCAGAAATAGATAGTATAAAATTTTTAAATAATCTTTATGCAAACAAAATCTACAAACAAAAATTCTAAATACGTAATTATTAAATAAAGTTCTGAACATGTAGATTATATGCTTTGCATTATGATCTGCATTATATGAAAAAAACAATTTGGAAAAAAATCCTACGACTTCAACTGTGTAAAAAGGTTTTAAATACGACGTTTAGGCTAAAAAACTCGAAACCTTTCTATTAAACTTACCAAGGACTGACAAAAATAATACCATATAGGATGTTACAAATAAAAGCCCTTGGGAAATTTTCCACCATCCTTTATTTTGGAGTTCAACCTCAAATGCGTCTAAAGGTAAACCAACACTCTTCATCATAAATTGTGTAAGTTTTGCACTGGCATCGAATGTAACAACATTTTTAGAATTTTGACCCATTTTGATAAAATTTTAATATTTTAGAATAATACACAAAAGTTGAAAAAGTTCTATATCTTTGAAATGTGACTCATTCTATTCATTTTCTCACGAGCCCAATGTTTTATATGAGAAGATACAACATTTTAAATAATTCAGTGTTTTCTTTTATTGTGACTCCTAAAATTAACTTTAATTGACTTGACTAGAAAGTAATTAAAACTTTTAATAAGTTTGAATTACTTGTAAAGTAACGTTTGTATAAGTCATAAAATATTCAGGATCTTTTTAAGTTATATCGAAATCCTTGTTACGTTTTTTTTAATTCTACATAATTGAAGTAATTATGAAGTCAGAATTAGTGATATAATATAATGGTATAAAGTGGTGCAATAAAATTTATTTTTTAATAAATGCTTATACTTTTAAAATTTGCTACATATAAAATATAGTCCTAAACGGTTTAATATTATTGCATACTATAATATTAGTGCTTAATTAACTCTTGAAATCTACGAACAGCAATAATAGATTATTAGTATATTATTTTGACAAAAATATATTATCACGCTCGCGGACAGTAAAACACAAAAATTGACGCTAACCCGCTAATTTGAAATAAAATATTTTATGAGAGCATTTTCTAATCTTTGCTGAAAACCGTTCGCAGAAGAGTAAAATAAGAAAAGGATGCTTTCAGAACCTGGAAATAATATTAATTTGAATTGATAATTAATAATTAAATATATTGGAAACTTACTGATGCAAAACTCTCGAATGATACTGTAGAAAATTTCATCGCCGTGTAAGTTTGCTGACGTTGTGCTCTTAGTATAATAAATTGTAATGATTTTTTATATTTCATACTAGCATCAGTCCATGGTGAATCATATGCAGCCCATGCAATTTCGCCACTCTAATTTAATATTAATTATTAATATTATCTTATATATAAAAATAGAGCTCGACTAAATGTTTGGTAAAACGTTAAAATGGCTGTATAGATTTGGCCAGTCTTAGTCTTGAAAACTTGGTGCTAATCGTAAGCGTAATTTAAATAAAACAATGAACGGCAGCTCATACGTCAAATGTCAAATGTTTTTGACACATGATGTTCAATGACTGATTATTATAATATTAACTAATATTATATAATAATAATAATAATAATAATATATGCCCTATTGTAAATATTTCGCTAACAGGAACCCAACAAGATTGTAATAAATTTAGTACTCATTTATAAAAATTAAATCAAATATCCGATAATTTGATTTTTCTTTTTTTTTACTTTTTCCTCTATATCTTCGAAACCGCTAGACCTGCCTTACCAATAATTTCATCAATTCTTCATTTTGTCAATGCAAGTAATTTGTTTTGAATCATTCAAATCGTGTACTCCGTTTTCTCAAAAACGGAATTATCGGCTGATCGTCTTGAAATTGATCATCGAATGGCTTTTAAAGTTTTGAAATTGATTCAACCGTTTTTGAGGAAACGTCCATGAAAGATCAAATATTGGCTCACATACAAACACACACATACATTTTCTAATTTTGAGCTCAAACTAATCAAAATGACTTGAGAGGTCGAAAAACCATAATATTAACAAGCCGGATTTCCTGGGCTAATCATAAACTTTTGGGAAGTTATACAATCAGCCTGTTCATATTTTAATTTTTTTACTTGCATAAATATAACGACTCAGATAAAATTATATATACTACATAAAAACGTTATAGAAATTATCGTGAACAACTGGTTCAATAATAAAACTATTTTTCTACAAAATTAAATTCTTTTTAAATAAATAATGTTGATAAGAGCTTACCGTATCGATTAGTTGATTTCCATATGAGCAAAGAGTGTAAATCTGCAGTAGCGATGTTGTTAAAAATATTATGTATGTTATTAACTCGTCAATTGTGACGCCAGCCTAAATAAAATGATAATCACATTAGCATTTATAAAATAATAATAAAAATGTTATAATAACAATCAAACTTTCCGTAATTTGGAATCCTGAAAGACAAATCATAAGCGAACTTCCAATAAAGTTTACTAATATAGAAGGGCTAAAAATATTCTCAATTTGAATAGAAAACCTGAAAATCAAATTTTCTAGAATTAAATTTTACACATAATTAGAGTATACGTATTACTCGATTAATTTTTGATGTTCTTCTATACAAGGGCGAAGATCTTCTAGATCCAACAATCTATGCTCACTTTTGGAAGTCAATGTTCGCATTTTTTGTGCTAGTAGACGGAAATGCATGCAAACATGTGCAGTATATAGGGAAAATGGACAATCAGCAGCTAAAATGCCTAAAAAGTAATATTTAAATTTATACTCCCGCCACAATATTATTTAATCTGGAGATACCATCACTAACCGCCAATTGCAACGATGCTAGCCCAAACTTGAAATGCATATATAAAAATGTACAAAGGCATAACATAAACGTCTATTGGATACCAAATTAGATACGGCAGAGAAAGTGTTATTTCTTGGCCTTTAAAGTATTGTGCAGACATCATAATCAAAGGAATCGAATTGAAACACAGCATGAAAATCATGTTTGGTATAACAAATTGGAGCATATTTTTATGTGACTTTTTCATACCTGAAATAAGGATATAAGTTAAAAAAAATTGTCAAATTTCTAAATATTATAGCTTATATCCAAAAAATGAAATCTTTTTTATTTAAAATTATTTTACTGACTTTCAACAACTATATCATTTTCACCGTCGTTAGGAAACATATTTCTCAATTCAGTGTGCATTCGAGATAATGTTTTAGAATTAAATGATACTGTCAACATCTTTATTAAACTCAAAAAGCAGAATCCAATGCATGGTGCAACGGCTGTAACATCCAAAAATCCTTTATAATTGATCAAAGACTGGCGAAAATATGCCGCTTCACCTAAAATCAAACAAAAAATATAATGTTATATCACAATTGATGTATTAAAAAAAAATTATGTCGAATACTAACCAAGTGCTGTTAAAAACAATAACAGATATGATAAGAAAAATAAGGTTCCTTGAGATATTTTCCACCAACTTCTACCATTTTTCTCTAATTCTGGTGTGAATGCTTCCAAAGATAAGCCAATACATTTCATTAAAAATTGTGTTAATTTTGCACTTGTATCGAAAGTAATATTATTTTTAGGATTCATTTAAAAAAAAATTTCTTTAGATTTATCAGTTGATACCTTTCTCAAGACCTAGTACAACAATTTTATGATTGTCCTGTACTTATATTTGCTATGAAATGGCATCATAAATGACCTTCATAAATATATTAATTACCTAAAGTTTAAATTGTTTGAAATCTGACTCATTCTATTCATTTTCTCACGAGTCTAATGTCTTATTAAAAGATACAATTTTTTAAACTAGGCAAATTGCTGGAACTTTCCGCACCGTAATGAAATGTTCAAGGAATATCAAATATTTTCAAATAAATTATTATAAATATTGTAACATCGTCTAATATTTATACGAATTATATAAACTCAATGGCAAAGTTGAAATTATTTATTTAAAGTATATTTGAACTTTAGTCAGAATTAAAAATAAAATCTAACCCATTTTCGATATACAAAAAAAATTTTTTTTGAAAAAAGAAATTGAAACAATTTTTTTCCCCAAAAGCAATTATTTTGTTAAAACAACCAGAAAGTTTTTTGAATCATTCAAATGGGACGCTTAAATCTCTCAAAAACTGTCATTTTTTGCACATTTAGTTTTGTATCCTCAAAATGGCTAGACCTGCCTCTGCCAAAAACTAATCACCTCTTCTCCTAATCATTACAAATTGAATGTTTTTTTAGATCATTCAAATCGGTTACTCCGTTCTATCAAAAACTCGATTTGTATTTCATGCACTCTTTGCTCCGTATCTCCGTAACGGCTGGACCAACCTTTGCCAAAAACTAATGAGCACATCACCCTATAGGAATGGAAGGTTTTTTGAACCATTCAAATCGGTTGATCCGTGCGCTCCAAAACGTGGAGGAAAAAATGCAGACATACATAACACACGAACACATCAATTTTTTCTGAGGTATGCCAAAATGTTCAGAAACCTTCAAAACGTGAAGATATGCAAAAATTTTCATTTTCGATTTTCGGCCCATTACTATAACTACCCTACGGGAAGTTAATTATTTAGTGTTTTCTTTTGTTGTGACTTATAAAATTAACTTTAATTGAAAAAAGAAAGTAATTATAACTTTTAATAAGTTCGAATTACTTGAAAAGTAACGTTTGTATAAGTCATAAAATATTTATAAACTTTTTAAGTTATATCGAAATCCTTGTTACGTTTTTTTAATACTATATAATTGAAGTAATTAAAAAAAATATTTATGAAATTTTCAAATATATAAAATCAATAAGTTTGCGATAATAGTAAGGTGACCATACGCCAGGATTGCCCGGGATAGTCCCGATTTTCTGCCGGCTTTTTCTAAAAGCAATATTTGTCCGAGATTGTCTCAAATTTTTCAAAATGTTTCGATTGCCAATATATTTTTAAATATATTTCAACCGAAAAATTTGAATCCCAAAAATGTACATATAATTTTGAGTTAGTTAAGATGCTAATAGGAAATTATGATTTCTAAATAAGATGCCAAAAATATAGTATTAAATGGTTTATTATTATTGCTTACTATAATAGTATAATAGTAGTACATAATTAACTCGTAAAATCTACGAACAGCAATAATAGAATATTAGTATATTATTTTGACTACAATATATTAACACTTTCACGGACAGTAAAAAAGTTTCAGCAAGGTACAAAAATTAGCGCAAACCCGCTAATAAAATAAAATATTTCCATTTTCTAATCTTTGCTGAAAACCGTTCGCAGAAGAGTAAAATAAGAAAAGGAAGCTTTCAGAACCTGGAAATAATATAAATGTTGAATTGTTAATAATTAATAAATAAATATATTGGGAACTTACTGCTCCAAAACTCTCAAATGATACAGTAGAAAATTTCATCGCCGTGTAAGTCTGCTGACGTTGTGCTCTTAATATCATGAATTGCAAAGATTTTTTATACTCCATACTAGCATCAGTCCATGGTGAATCATATGCAGCCCAAGCAATTTCGCTACTCTAATTTAATATTATTTATTAACTAGCTGTAAGTGGAATTCTGTCTTAAGGCAATTAAGGCATCGTGCCTTAAGGCAAATTGCTGGAACTTCCCGTACCAAAAATTATTATTATTTTAAAAACAATTAACATTTTTGAAAAAAAATTACTTTGAAAGAATAAGATTTTTGAGAAACTATAAATTGGACAAAAAATAATTTTTTTTTGAAAAAAAAAATTTTTTTTAAAAAAACATTTTTTTTAATTTTTTTTTTTTTTTGAAACAAAAATTTTTTTTCTTTATTTTGACATATTGTAGAAGATCTGAACTTTTTTTCAAAGCAATCGTACTGCTTTAACTGCATAGGGACAAAATATAAAGCGCGTAAGCGCCGCGTCGCTGTCTAACGCATAAGCATTGGTACGGAACCCATAGAAATGTTAACAAAATGTATACTTATTGTTAAAATCTCTATAAAATATCTGATAATTTGATGTGCATATGTCTAATGATCATTTTTGACCGCCAAATGGCTCATTTTTTTACTTTTTCCTCCATATCTCCGAAACCGCTAGACCTACCTTCATGAAAATTTTATCGATTCTTCATCTTGTCAATACAAGTGAAATGTCTTCTGAATTATTCAAATCGGACGCTCCGTTCTCTTAAAAACTGAGTTACCGTTTTCGGCACTTTTTGCCCCGTATCTTCGGAACGGCTAGACCTGCCTTCGCCAAAAACTAATCAGCACGTCTCCTTATCAATACGAATCGAATGTTTTTTGAATTATTCAAATCGGTTGATCCGTGTTACCGAAATCGTCGACGAAAATTTGTATCCGCACATACATACACACACGCACATACATACATACATACACACACACACACACACACACACACATACATCCATTTTTTCTAAGGTATGCCAAAATGTTCAGAAACCTTTGAAACGTAAAGATATATAAAAATTTTCATTTTCGATTTTTTTGCGATTACTATAACTTGCCCTACGGGAAGTTAATGATTAAACATATGCGCTTGTTTGTCATAAAAACGTATCCCATTATAACTAAATTTAACGGATTTTTATAATAAAATCAGTTCTTATAGGCCTCTAATATATTATAATAATAGTTAACTTCATAGCTCAAACAATATCACCATGTTAAACTTCATTCAAGAAACGATACGGCCGACCTTTGCCAAAAGCTGATCAATGATTAATTTCTTTCAAACGTTATTTATTCGGTTCAGAATTTGTTGCAAAAACGTAATTATTAAACTATTTCTGAAGCAATGACTCGGCTGATCGTCTTGTAAAACGAACGCGAGTTTTTATCGAGTTTCATCGAATGGCTTTTAAATTTTTGAAATTGATTCAACCGTTTTTGAGAAAACGTCTATGAAAGATTAAAAATCGGCTCACATACATACATTTTCCAATTTTGGGTTCAAACAAATCAGAATGACCGAAAGGCAAAGAAAACACTATTAACTGGACGGCTTTTTGGAAAAAAACAAACTTCTCATATTAAAATCTTTATATTAAAATGTTTCTACATAAAATATGATATAACGATTAGAATACATTAATTACCGAGATCGAATGGTTCAATTATAAAACTATTTTTCTACAAAATTAAATTCTTTTTAAATAAATAAATAATGTTGATAAGAGCTTACCGTATCGATTAGTTGATTTCCATATGAGCAAAGCGTGTAAATCTGCAGAAGCGATGTTGTTAAAAATATTATGTATGATATTAACTCGTCAATTGTGACGCCAGCCTAAATAAAGTGATAATCACAATAGCATTTAAAAAATAATTATAAAAAATGTTATAATAAAAATGAGACTTACCGTAATTTGGAATCCTGAAAGACAAATCATAATCGAACTTCCAATAAAATTTACCAATATAGAAGGACTAAAAATATTTTCAATTTGAATAGAAAACCTGAAATTTAAATTTCTAGGATTAAATTTTACTCATAATATACTAAATAAATAGAGATAAAATAAATATACGTATTACTCGATTAATTTTTGATGTTCTTCTATACAAGGGCGAAGTTCTTGTAGATCCAACAATCTATGCTCACTTTTGGAAGTCAATGTTCGCATTTTTTGTGCTAGTAGACGGAAATGCATGCAAACATGTGCAGTATATAGGGAAAATGGACAATCAGCAGCTAAAATGCCTAAAAAGTAATATTTAATTTTATACTTTTGCTTCAAAAACGCAACGGGCAGATACCTTGCGCGATAACGTAACTGTTACGATTTTGTTACGCTGAAAAAATTTAACAAAATTTCCAAAATCATGATCACTTACCGCCAATTGCAACGATGCTAGCCCAAACTTGAAATGCATATATAAAAATATACAAAGGCATAACATAAACGTCTATTGGATACCAAATAAGGTACGGCAAAGAAAGTGTTATTTCTTGGCCTTTAAAGTATTGTGCAGACATCATAATCAAGGGAATCGAATTGAAGCACAGCATAAAAATTACATTTGGTATAACAAATTGGAGCATATTTTTATGTGACTTTTTCATACCTGAAATAAGGATATAAAATACGATCAAAATTTGTATTTGTTTTGCAAAAAATAAAAGCTTTTTTTATTTATAATTATTTCTCTCACTTTCAACCACTATATCATCTTCACTGTCTTTAGGATACATATTTCTCAATTCAGTGTACATTTGAGATAATTTTTTAGAATTAAACGATACTGTCAACATTTTTATTAAACTCAAAAAGCAGAATCCAATGCATGGAGCAACGGCTGTAACATCTAAAAATCCTTTATAATTAATCAAAGACTGGCGAAAATATGCCACTTCACCTAAAATCATACAAAAAATATGTTATATTCCAATTGTTGGATTAAAAAAATTATGTCGAATACTAACCAAGTGCTGTTAAAAACAACAATAGATATGATAAGAAAAATAAGATTCCTTGAGATATTTTCCACCAACTTCTACCATATTTTTCTAATTCTGATGCAAATGCTTCCAAAGATAAACCAATGCTTTTCATTAAAAATTGT